GAGTTAATTAGTTATTCGGTTAATTAAGATCAACAGCAATTGTAAACAAATTCCGTTTATTGTTGAGCCTCTGAAAGTGGCCCCGAAGGACCGGAACATTTTCACTCGACTTGTTTACGCCGGAAGGGTTGTCATTGACGGATGAAGACGAAAGCGAAGATGACTCACGTTAAAACAAATAATTTTATGATAACCCTCAGACCAGATAATTATGTAACTAGCCATGTGACGGATAAACAGACTTGGCGAATAACCAAGCAACAAAAGCCTCTGTTAACGTATTATCCTGTTGCATTGGAGTTCAACTAAAGACTCTGTGTGGCCGCGCCATAACTCAAGCTATGGCCTGGGTTCGATCCCGAGTCTGGTCAAGTGGGATTTGTGGTGGACAAAGTTGCGTTGGGGCAGGTTTTCTCCGAGTACTTCGCTTTCCCCTGCCAATCTTCATTTCACCAAATTCTCCATCATCATAATCACTCGGGGCAGACTACAATAGGCCAATCAGTGGCTGCCGTGCCGAGTGGACCCAGTTGGACTCCACCCTCCACTAAGCGAATTCAAAAAAATATATATCAATGCAGAAGATGTGAACAAGCATGGACTCAGAAAATAAAATAAAAACGAACAAATTTTTGTTATAACATTAAATTAATTTCAATTCACAATTGAAACACGAGAATATTTGGACCAAAGAGAGATGAAGTGACAGGAGGTTGGAGAAAACTGCATAACGAGGAGCTTCATAACTTGTACTCTTCGTCAGGTATAAATAGATTAATCAAGTCAGGGAGGATGAGATTGGCAGGGCATATAGCACGAATGGGTCGAAGAGGAATACATATAGGATATTGGTGGGAAAGCCAGAAGGAAAGAGACCACTGGAAAGACCAAGGCGTAGGTGGCTGGACAATATTATATAGATTTCAGGGAGATAGGATGGGATGGTATGGATTGGATTGATCTAGCTCAGGATAGGGACCAGTGGAGGGCTCTTGTGAAGACAGTAATGAACTTTCTGTTACTATAAAATGCGGGTCATTTCTTGACCAGCTGAGCGACTGGATGATTCTCGAAAAGGCGTTAGCTCCATGGAGCTAGATAATATGAAATGTAACCTACAGAAATATTCATCTTTCACTTCTTGAAACGAGAGAAACGCAAATGGTTCGGTGTTCGGTTCTGAATTCTGTTAGCTTCTGTTTCTTTGCGCGGCGAGGAACCCAGAACAAGTGACGCAACAGAAGACGCATAGCGCCTCTATGCAATAACTCACAAACCATGAGCCGCAGCGTCGCGACGCCACATTACCGCCCATCTGTCTGTCTGCCTGCTTGTGCTCCACGCAGCATCACTCAGCCAAGCCACGCCCCTCAACTTTGTCCTCAACTGAGCCGGACCAATAATAAATTCTTACAGCAAGAAGATCGCCATGGGGATATCAGGACGAGGCAGCTATTAAATAGAGACAGCTGGTCGCGCTGTTTGTCTCTGTCTGGTCGCGGAAAGGGGCGGAGAGACAGACAGAACCGAGGTACAGTCAGAAACAAGCAAACTGCATCATTTCATGACAGCGTCATCCTCGGCCCCTCACATAACAAACCACTGAAGGCGACAAACGAATCTGGAAGAAAATAAGTAAGAGAAATTGAGAAAATTACACAAACAATACGGTCTTCTAGGACCATATCGCCTCAATCTTCATGGTCAAAGAGTAAACCAATATTAAACTATAGATTCCCACCTGTATGTATTTCTATCCTGAAGATGGAAGCGGTATGTTTTTACGAAACTTCGGGCTCTCTCCCAGCTTCACCAAATTATCTTCCTCTTCATAGTCAGTGTTATCAGAACCTCAGATCCAACAAAGATGTCCTTTCTCCGTCAACGGTCAAGATGTGATAATGTGCTGCCTGTTCAAAGCTATCGCGTATCTCAGGGAGTAGCAGGGAGATACTGAAGAAAGCTGGGGAGGAAACATACTCTAGCGTCATTTAAACTATCAAGAAACCACATGAAATCACCTGGTGCTGAACCCAGAGCCCTTCAACGAGAAGTCAACTCCTTACCGCCTGAGCTGTGACGTAATTGACCACTCAGTAACTCATCTGGTGAGGTTTCTGTACAATACAAGTACCTGCGAACAAAACTAAGTAACAGAGGCGAGGTTCGTGACGAAATCGGGTAAGAGCAAATTATGTAAGTGCTTCTTGTCACCCCCCTCCCCCTACTTCCCATAGCATGAAGCTTATGGTGCTGTTCAAAACTCACCTTCTTGGCTCTGCTTAGGATCCCAGTCTCCTTTACAACATATGCCAATCATTCACCATTATTTTCCTCAGCCTCCACCTCTTCATCTTCATCTCTCATCAATCACTATATTCATCTTCCCAACTATCTCAAATTCGACCTTGCTATATTTCTTCTACCTTCTGGCCTATCAGTCCCTCCGTCCATCCATCTATATACAGCCCTTATGGAACTTGGACTTTTTGTTTCAGTTTCTTAATCCTATACACAGTCGGCAGGACTCCTTGGATGGGGGATCAGCCCGTCGTAAACAAAATTTAAGTGAGGTTTTCACTGCAGTGAATATGAATTTTTTTTCTCAAATGTGCTCACCTTTAGCTTTGTAGATATTTAGCGATGTTTCGGAGGAGCATTTTGTGTCTATCTTCAGATTTTGACTTTTCTGTTGGTTCCTCTATCCGAGTAGGATACACAGCGCCACATTCAAGAAGATAGTGATCTCCAGGATTTGGGTGATTAAACTTTAGATTCAATGGAAGTGATTTATGTACGCAGTTATAAACAGGGTTCTGTGACCAGCTGAATAACTAAAACACCCTGTATCATACAGTAAACTACTTGGTTTGTTAACAATTTTGGCAAGCGCTGATGTGTAACACGGAAGCCTCCCCTGACAAAAATTAAATTTGGAAACAAGAACATTTTTAGTGTAGAAACATTATATCAACATTATATTTCATATATGAAATACATTTATTGCTTTTAGTCACACTGGACGGTGTAATCAAACCATTCAATAGTAGTGAATGGTGTGAGGGACCAGAATGAATACAGTTAAACAGTAATGAAATTTTAAATTCCATAATGGACAGGAAATTTTCTGAATAACAAAGGAATTAATCATCATCACTGGCACGACAGCCCTTTGTGAGCCCTGGTCTTCCTCAGGACTGCTCGCCATTCTTCTCCATTCGATGCAACATTCCTCCACTTCTTTACACCCAAAATTCTTATGTTAACAAAGGAATTACTGGTTTCTAAAACTGGATTCTGTTCCCTGGAGTTTGTTATCTATTTCATATGCCTAAAAGCAAACAGTGATATATATTTACATCGCCCGTTGTTTATTGGCATAATTAATGAAAATTTATCAAACTGTATGAATTGACATGGAGCAACATCGCAATACGAAACGCTGGAAGGACACGGGAAAGTGTGCATAACCTGCTCTGGCAATTATCTCTGAAATTACCTGAAAGGAATGAGGGAAAACATGTCAGGTTTGCCAACCTCTGAGACAAGAAACGACCATCATCTCTGGAATATTAAGGAAGAATTTTAAATACTAAACCGTGACATTCGATCTTCGTTTGTTTTGTGATGAATAAATTATATAATGATAAATTCTTGGAGAGAAGGGAAATTCGATATTGTTAAGGAACGAAAAAAAATGGGAGTTTTGGATTAAACAGCACTAAAATTACAGTTTATAAAGTAATCATTTTTAATGGGTCATTATCGATAAACATAAAGTTGTGGAAAAGTCATGCCAAATAGGCTTTAAATTACCATCTTTATTTACTTTATAAATTTCCTTCTCTTTTTAAGATCTGAGATAGGCCTAGTCCACCTGATTTCAAAATTATATTCTGTAGGGCCTTTGAAACACATGTTGGTCTGAACGCAACGCAGAAACAAAACCATTTCAGTTCGTCTTCTCAAGCAGTAAAAGTTATTCCCTTCAACCCACTTAACTTGTCAGCCTTTCTTAGCACAAACATCACGACATCTGCCGAGAAACTTCACCACGTGGAATGACGTCGAAATTCACGAGTTCACACTCTGAGTGCCGCTGCAGGCAAAGTCGCTGAGACGCCAACTATGAACTGTCCTGTCAAGTTCCCCACACGCGCTTATCACGACAAATGTTTACCATCACGCAAAGGAAATACGTCACAATCCAACCGGAACTGACAACACTGAATACTGACTTCAAAACCAAATGTTCAGCATTAACACGATGGCTGAACATAAATCACATACCAGGTCGTGAGCGAGAAGTTTATTTTTGTTTCTGTATATCGTGTCTATTCTGTGAGTATTAATAATGTTTTGATTTGGAAATGTCAAGTGCAGTATACTACACAAACAAACAGTTTACGGCTGACTATTTGTGCTTGTTATTCGTGGGAGATAACGTCAAACGTCGGCCTCGATGTATCATCCGATGATATACAGAAATGGAAAGGAATACGGAAGAAAGCAGGGGAAGCTAACAGCACGAAAGCTCATGTAACGTGTTCTAAATTGGCGTNCTTTCTACATGACGTCATTAAAATTTAATTTAATAATTGTAGTTATTATTCCTTCTTCAAAGTTTTCGCTGGTGTATTTTGGGGCACTGAGAAGGAAAGCAACCAAGCACCACACGGAGAACAAGTTGGTCTGCTTGCTGGTAGGGAATTTAAATTTCCAAGCGGTGTCAACACTGAAATTGTAGATATCAGCCAATGAACAGATAATGTGAGAATTCTGACGTGTGTGGTGGGCCTAATACGAAGTGTTAAGATTTTCTACCACATTTTCTAGACAATCCACTCACAGATGGCGGTAAAGTTGTCAGCCTTACGCGCCGGCCGCCCTTTACCCCCATGAATATTCCTGGTACTCATTTCTGTTAGAGACTGACTCTACCCCAGGGCCATAGTGCGGCTGGAAGAATTAGGTCAATTAAAAAAATCCGATGACATCACTGGGAATCGAACCCGCGACCTTTCGGACTGTACTATAGTGTCTCAACCAACTACGCTACCGCGTACCCCCTGTAAAGCAAAGATTATAACATGAAAAAGTTGAAAAGCAATTATGTGAGTTGAATTTGACAACCCTGTATACATATTTCACTGCTGTCTCTTCCTTATTTAGTGAGGGGCGGGGGGAAATGTCTAAGAGCTAAAAGAGGAGGAATAATCTTGCGATAAAGATTTCAGAACAGTGTAATATAGTGAATTTTACAGACTGACCGACTTACATCTGTCAATATGTTCAGTGTTGCCAAACATTCCACTTGCTTTACAATGGGGGAGAATTTTGAAGCAATAAACGCTTACATGATACCGCCGTTCTTTACGGACACCCAGACAGAGTCGAGTTTCCTATAATTACGATACAACAGTTCAAGGAAACATTAAATGTCCAACTCTCAACGGAAATTAATTTAAATTACCACACGCGCACGCGCATTAGGAGCATTCAAGCGGTGAGGAAGATGAACCACCCAGAACGAAGGGGGGGCTGTGTGGGGGGAGTGACTGCTGGTGAAATTCTGGGCCCACGGTACCAGGTGCATGAGGCTGGAAGGTCTCCATGTCTCCCAGAGAGTTGCCGGATTCCGCCCCTGGACATTTATCCCCGGTTTTACCTTCCTGCTTGATCATCATTCGCCGCCATTTTGCCCTCGCATTCTGGAACCACACCTGAAACAGAAAAACAAATATTCTGTCACTTCCGGAAGAGAACTGAGGCCTGCACCGCGATGGTTCTTCCGTGTTGATACTGTACAAGTCTCTGGATATACATCAATGTTTCGAAATAATATACCGCCTCCATCTTCAGGGTTGGAATAGTACCAAAGTTTCAGACCAATAAGCCGCTTCCGTCAGCATACTTTGCTACAAGCTTCACGCTGGTTTCTTACTCGGCTTATCCTTCGACCGTCAAGATATAAGCGACATATTCCTCCGAAATTTCTGTTGATTTTCAACGAATTACGCAGTGTTATATCCCAGAAGACAGAACTGTTCAATAAATGCACTGCTTGAAAAGGAGATTAATACATTACTGGAACAGAGCGATACAACATCCCTGTAACAGTCCGTGGAGGCCCATAGAGTTGTCAGACGTCGAGGCTCCCATATTTTCTAGACCATCAGCTCACAGATGGCGGTGAGGTTGTCACCTTTACGCACCGTCCGCCCTTTACTCCCATGAAGATTCATGGTAGTCATTTCTGTTAGAGGCTGAATCGACCCCAGGGCCTAGTGCGGTTAGAAGGATTAGGCCAACTGAAAATTTAGTCACCTCGAGAATCGAACCCGCGACCTTTAGGCTTCTAGCACACTTCCTCGACCAACTACGCTACCGTGTATCCTCTTACGTGAACAGAAGACATATATAAAAAGAGGAAATTAAGATTTTGTTCATGTCACAAAGAGAATTATCTACACGCGGCTTCCGAAAGAAGTTACAGCCCAATTACGGGTGCCATGATCACATCTGACAATTAAACCCAGCAACCCCTTTCCCCGCTGTCATGGCGCCCATTAACAGGGACCAGAAAGGAAGCACTTAAAACATTTTTAATGTAACAAGGTTTCCAGTCAGAAACGCAATCGGATTCGAGTTTGTCCGGGCGATCTTCATTAATTATTCCGGTGAAATGCAACCTAATGCGAAAGATCTGTTCCAGAAAGGGGCGGGGGGGGGGGGGGAGACTTGTCCCGCGTTTGTCGCTCTGATCTGACAGACAGACTCCCTCTGATTTCTCCAGTGGAGTAACGAGAAGCCATGTATATACAGAATGCCCCAGGTAAGGAAAAGCTGTCCCTGTGCTTAACTAAGCACCGCGCCATGAAGGCGTATGGGGGAGCGGATGTATAGAGATACATTCTTTTGACCTCGGCACTAGTTCGTGAGTGGCCATCTTCACGCTCCGGCCACTTTTCCACCGGCGAAAGAACCCCCGATGTCCATTGGGTGAACCCCAGAGCCGGTCTGGACGATTTGGAGAAGTGAAAATTCCTTATCCTACCGGGACTCGAACTCCATCCCCCTGGAACGTCCAGCACGTAGCCAGTCGCTATACCGACAACACCAACTAACGTTATTACACCAAAATATTTAGCTCGTCCGCCATGTTATTATTTGACGCTTATCCAAGGAAAGGATATCCGTTGGATAGGAGGCTGGGTGGGCACCAGGTCGGTCTGGACGCTGTAAGGAGAAATATCATTCATCTGCCGGGAATATGTTGACGCCCGGCCCGTTGCTATACCGACTGAGCCATCCCAGCTCCCATGCAAGAACCTAAACCCTTCATAATTAGGTACGAGTTTAAATTCTGTCGGTAATGACGAAAGCTACATTCAATACCACCACGCTGTCAGTAGCACTAGAATTAGTTGCATGTAGACCCGTTGCTAGGTAACGGTAATGAAATGCCGACCCCTAAAAGGTGACTATATATATATACACACACACACACGAGGGAGCGTCAGTAAATAGGTCACAAATGGATATAAAACACAAAACACGTGATATTCGAACCTGAAAATAACATTTATTTCTCGGCATAACCTCCACCAACATTGATACACTTGTCCCATCGCTTTACCAGTGCGCCGAAACCCGCAGCATTGAAGCCTTTAGACTGTTGTCTCAGCCACTTCCGCACCTGGTCGGGCATCATCTGCAGCTCTGGAACGTCCTTTAGAGAATTTCTAAACCCAGTTGCGAACCACTTTACACGACAAACGCTTCTCACCGTAAACAGGGAACATTTCTTTACGAATATCAATTGCACTGTCCTTTTGCCCACAAAAAAAAAAAACGCAGAACAAAACGCTGCTCTTTGGTACTATACTCCTCACGCATGATAGCTATCTTGACGATCTTGACTACTGAAACCAGCCTCTGAACATAAGCATGGGCGTCTGTTACCTAGACTGTCATGACGCTGTATTGTGCTGCTACCTAGTGATGTACACAGAAAACTTTATTGCATCCATTACAGCTGTTTCACTTCAATTTGTGACCTGTTTACTGACTCTCACTCTTATATAAATTCAGGAAGAATCCAGATGCAATTTAACTGAGTTTTAACGATTTCAGGAACGACTTCGACCAAATTTCAAACAAGTTTTAACAACGTTTCGGAAGACTGATCTACAAAAAGCAATACAATGCAGCAATATGGCGGTCACATACCCGTATATATAATGCACGTGATGATGACCTTATAAGGTCGAAACATGTTGCAGAATAAACAGCTGTAACACATGAAAACGTGGCACAACCAACACTTCCTCTCTGACTTAAATGATTAACCAACAGAACGGGATGCATAATCATATCAGGGTTACTTGTCAGACTGCATTTCCCGTTGAAGTTTCAACGCGTCTCACGCTACTGGTAGTAATATTTTCAAGGTTTAATGAGAGGGTCATATTATTTGTATTTGTTTCGATATATCTCCTCCTACCTTCATCAAGTGTTTATTCGATGATAATACTAAAAACGACGTTACTGTACTGTAATTCTTGACATGCATGCAACAGATTACACAACTCTGTCTGCTGCATAACTGCCTTAATGCTTGCATGTCCTGGCAAGGCGTTCTTGTGGCCAAGCCCGCAGATGGCCAGGCGCCAGAGGAATCTGAAACTGCGGCCGGGGGGAACCCGTGAATGAACACAACGTAACGCTTCAAGAGGCCCAGAGCACCTCGACGAGGGCAGTGGGTAGCTCTGGTAGGGGAAACTGCGTTCCGTCAGATGAACAGAAGCGTGAAGTCCATCTCGACTGCAAAAAAGTGTAAAAATGACAACAAAATTAAACTTAAATAATGGGAATATATTTTTTACGACTTTACAAACAAAAATTTGTCTATGGCTCTACAGCCCTTTGTTGAACCTTGGCCTCTTTTTAAGTTTTTTAATCTATAGACAGTCGGTAAGCCTCCTTGGGTGACTGACCAGCCCGTCGCAAGGCCGCTACCTACACACAAAACAACACAGACACAGGCAGGCATGCCTCGAATGGGATTCGAAATCACGATCCCAGAGTTCGTGCGAGCGAAGATATTGCATGCCTAACACGCGGCCACTGCGATCGGCAAACAAACATCTACTTTCCTTTGACTACGTACTGAGTGGTACAGCGACTGGCTACGGACTGGACGACCGAGGTTTCGGAGTTCGAGTCCCGGTATTTGGTTCGAACAGGCCGTGGGGCCCACCCAGACTCCTATCCAATAGGTACCGGGGGTTGCTACCCCGACGGTAAAGTGACCGGGGCGTGAAACTGACCACTAACTTCCAAGTAGTGCCGACGTTAAGAAATCGTGGGTCTATACATCCACTCACCCATACGCCTTCATGGCGTAGTGCTTAATTAGTTCAGCACTGATACGACACGGACCGCACGCAAAAGAACGAGTCCGCCAGTCCTTCTGTTATTCAATGTGTACACTCTGAAGTCAGAACGTGATTAGCGAGCCGCAGTACAAGGGACTAGGTCTCTTGTACTGCGGCCACCTCTGGCTATTGTACCAGCCCCAGATGATAGGTGAGGGTGATTGTGGAGCTTAGTGGGGGGGGTGGAGTCCAGCTGGGTCCACTCGGCACGGCAGCCACTGATTGGCCTATTGTACCTGCCCTGGGTGATTATGATGATGGAGAATTTTGTGGAATGAAGATTGGCAGGGGAAACCGAAGTACTCGGAGTAAACCTGTCCCAGCGTCACTTTGCCCACCACAAATTCGGCATCACTAGACTCGGGATCGAACCCAGGCCGCCGCGTTGGGAAACCAGCGACTAGCCGCTTGAGCTATGGCGCGGCCCTTTTTATATAATACTATAACATTATGCAGTGCCACGTGTTTCTCTGTAGAGATCTGTTGATGCAGACGTTTCTACACCGAAAGAGGCCTTCACGTAATGTTGTTACGAACTGGGTTGTGGCGACGCTGAGTGCATTAACTGTATTACAGTTCTAACAACAGACAGCGCACCTACATTCATTAGTTATCTATCTGTTAGTGGAGCACTTGTGAGCCCCGAGGGGCTGCGAGCAACATCGGCCCGGCATGATGTTGGCCCTCGGCCCGGCAATCCGTCAGTCCCCGCCACCCATTTCTCATCGCGCATGCGCGTTTCGGATGCCGCTTCTTCAGCGAAGCACCGGCAATTAGCGGGAATAGAAATAAACCAAGCTCACAAAACGCAAAGGGAAAACATACATCAATCAAGTGTAAGGTCTGAAGATAGGTCAGCTACCCAAATAGAAATTTGGTACTGCTTTTAGAAGGCATTCCGACTGAATAGATTCTTGATACAGGCTAGATATAGTTATCAGTTTTTTAAAAAACGGTACAAAATACATTCCAACACACTCATATGCAACGCCAATGTCAAGGAAAATACGAAACTTTAATCACATTGGAATGAATCAGTCTGAAACTGAAACTGGCTTATCTATGAATGGAATGCTCGGGGCAGCATGAGTCATTAAGAAAATAACAGCTGTCTTGTGCTCCGTATTTTTTTCCTTTTTAATAATATATGTAACCTATAGCGGCCGTAGCTATGGGTTTATACGCAGTAAACAATAAGAAATATTAACTAATTTAAATGAACTGTTCTGGTTCTATGAGAATATTTTTATTATTATTAAATTTAACTGCAAATTGGTTTTTAC